ACTGAAGTAAAAATGCAATTTAAGTGATAAGATAATTTCTTCTCTGTTATATCTTGTCTTCTAAGTAGCTTGCTAACTTCCTGTGCACTAGGATCATGTCTTACAAATGTGCTAACAACTTATTACCCTCCTTGAATATAGCAGGCAGAGTAATAGCATTCATTTCGGGGGTGGCAAAGAATAAAAAAATTAGGCTTAGGAATGCTGTATAATAATATTTTCTTCTTGATAGGATTTGCTGCAAAAAAAATTGAAAACAAGCAGTCTTTATTTTAGATCCTCCTTTTCAACACCATACCCTGTTCCCACTACACACATACACATATATACACACACACATACAAACACACACCTCCGTCTGATGCATCTATTTCATCTGTTTTACTGGTTGCAAGATGTGGTTCTCTGCTTTTGCCCCAGGTAAACCTTCAGTTTTCTGCTATTACTCAGGCAGGGCTTTATTAGAGGAGCTGCTTTGCCTGACTTCAGCCCATACCCTCCAATCATCCTGATATTCTAATCCATCGAGACTCACCTCTTGCTCACTGACCATCCCATTTCACATTTACATTTAATTTGAGCATTTAGGGTACATCAGTCTATACAATCAAATGTTAACATGTTGTGTGCTATGATGTCCTGGGTGAAAGTTGTAGTTTAGGATAGATGGGAGGGGTGGTGGTTACTTGCATCTTTTAAGCTGAGCTTCATTTATAGGCCAGGAAAATGAATATTACACAATACCAAAAAGTTTAAAATTTGTTGTGCACTGTAAATAACAGAATCCTAAAGTACTATCTAAAAGCACACTGGGATGAACCATAGAAAGCTCTCTCTCTCTCTCTCTCTCTTTTTTTTATTTTGTTTTTCTTATTTTATGAGTCTTTGTTCCCATACAGGATTGAAATAACTTGGAGAATATATTTCAAATGTTTGCTTGCTACTTTTGGCCTGTATATCTAGACTTATGAAATAAACCACATAGGAAGATTTATACACCCCTCCTCCAGAAATATACATCCAGTGACCTGCAGATATAATGTACAGTTAAAGAGCAACATTTTAGTATTTCTATTACCTCATGATAATGGGATATGTTGCAACCTAGGAGTAAGCTTAATATCTAAAATGGCATTTCTGGTAAACGAACTCAGAGCATGAGTTATATAATCAGGCAGCTGGTTCTACAATTGGAAATAACTGAAATACTGACTAGACTATTGTGTCTGTGAAGATTCTCTAGAGAAACAGGACCAATAGGATAGATAAATAGATAGCTAGACAACTATGAATAAAACAAAAGGAGATTTATTATGGGAATTGGCTCCTGCGATTATGGAGGCTGATAAGTCCCACAATATGCTACCTTGTAGCTGGAGAACCAGGAAAGTTGGAGCTATAATTCAGTCTGATTCTAAACCCCTAAGAACCAGGAGAGCCAATAGTATAACTTTAGTTTAAGTGGAAAGGTTGGAGAACCTGGTGGAGAACCGGGACCTTTGATGTCTGAGCGCAAGAGTAGATGGATGTCCGTCCCATCTCCAGAACGAAAAGTGAGTTTGCCCTTTCTCCACCTTTCCCTCAGTGGATTGGATGATGCCCCAACACTGGTGAGGGCAATCTCTTTTACTCAGTCAACTAATCTAACTGCTATTCTTTTTCCAGAAACACCCTCACAGATGTACCCAGAAATAATGTGTTACTGCCTATCTGGGCAACTCTTAGCCCAGTAAAGCTGACACATAAAATTAACCATCATAGCCACCAATTTTCATGAGTTCAAAGTAAGTTAGGTAAAAGATTCCTCAGAGAGGAATAAACAGATAGAAGAAAACCTAAAAGATATAAAATAGCCTTTCAAATGTAAGTACGGATGCTATACCCTATTAGTTGACTAAGGCTGCTGTAACAAGGTACCACAAACTGGGTGGTTTAAAACAAAAGGAATTTATTCTCCTATAGTTCAAGAGGCTAGAAGTCTCTTCTCTAGGGGAGAATGTTCCCTTGCCACTTTTGGCTTCTGCTAGCCCCTGGCATTCCTTGGCTTGTGGCCGCATAACTCCAATCTCTGCCTCCATCTTGGTATGGACTTCATCTCTTTGTGTGTCTGTGTCTAGATTTCCTTTTCCCATAAGTACATCAGTCATATTGAATTGGGACCCACTCTCAATGACTTCTGCTTAACTCGGTCACATCCATAAAGACCTTTATACCAAATAGGGTCACAGACAGAGGTATGACAAATTAGGACTTCAGAAATTTTTTGGAGCAGACACAATCCAACCCATAATAGATGGTGATGCCAAAGAAATGAGAGACTCCTTGCTTTCCTTAGAGTAGAGAAACACAGTGAAATTAAGGATGACTTTGCTTTCATTTGCTCACTAATAATTCCATCTGTTATTGTGCTTTTAGTTTATGTTGGCCATTATGGGATGGTAAGATAATACTATATGGAAGCACTTATTTTTCTACTTATTATTTGAATCTTTCATCCTTTTGAAGAGGCATGGCTGACTATCCTTCTGTAATTTGCCATAACAATTTTAATTTGATTATATTGATAAGCAGGTTATCTTAGCACTGATAGCAAACAAAATGGAAAAACATGTTTTATAAACAGGAAGGAAAAATTTTTAAAAAATAGGCAAATAAAGGGCAAAAAATTTTACCATATATGGGGGAAACGTGAAATATAGGAAACACTCTCATGAATAGTTATTCTATAAACATGGGATTTGAGTATTGACGCAGCAGCTCATGACTCAGATTTTCTTCCATAACTTCTCTTGAGCCCCAGACAGCCCTGTGTTCTGAACCTTCCTCTATATTTTCCAGACTTCCTAGCCTAAAGAGAAATAACAATACTAACATTTGTATTTACTTAAGGCTTTGGAAAAAGTCAAAGTGAAAATAAAAGTAACCTTCAAGAAGTGTCTGCATGGAATAACTGACTCAAACTATTTTGGCCAAGAGTATCTTTTGGTCCTTATTTTCATGGCAGCAAGAGCAATATTTTCAAGCAGTAGAGGGTGGGGCAGGTTGGAAAGGCGGGAATCTCAATTGAATCATTCTATGAGGGAAAACATCTACATGCCGAAAAGAAATTGATAGTCAGTGTTAGAATTGAAAATTTGAGAAGTGATGAAACTTGAACTGCTAACAGTTAGCAAAATTATATATTGTATATACAGATACCATCCAGATTTAAAGGATGAGCTTACCAAATATCTCAATTATCATCTGTCCATTATACTTATTTATTAGTTAATGTGGTGAAAGGTGGGGAAAATGGTAAAATGCACTTATTTGATTTTTTGTGATTAATGCAAATTTGAAGAGGTAGATTTGACAAGGCTGAAATGTATTATACCACAGTCCCCCATTGTTTTAAAACAATTTTGGACTGTTACATAGAGTCACACTTGAAAGTGAATGCAAAGTAGCCAAGCCATGGTTCCAACAACGTGATGCATCTTACTTGCCTGTAGTTAACCAGTCCTGAGATATGGCAGGAATTGTTTTTCTCCAGATCCTATATTGCAAGGCCATAAAATTTGTCCACAGAAAACCTTCATCACTGAGCATTTATTGCAATAGTTTTCATTAAGATTAGAAAGATTGAATTACAATTAAATCAATCAAGCTTTAATATATTGGCTAATAGATAATTAGATTTCTATGAGAGGGCAGCTGCCCTGGGTGGGGAGTAGGGGGGTGAAGAAAAGATTAGATGTATTTTTTGACTCATCTTATTATGGAAGTTTCTGAATAATTTTTTTTTAATTTTATTCACAAATAACTCATTAATAAGTATTGGTGTGGAGGCTGTTGGTTCAAGAAGCATATTTGTATAAATTTCTTGGCGCACATTTCATTTACCACCATGGTGTGTTATTTATCTTGAGAGGCTGAATATACAAGTGAATAATGGCCAAGCCATATATGACAAAACAACTGTGACCATGATCTCTGCAGCAACCATGACTTTTGTAGCAATTGGCCCCAAACAGTCAGAACTTGGTCGATAACTGCCAGCTTCCCTAATGTTTGCGCTCACTTCCAGCTCAGAACCAACCAGACAAAGAAAATATCCTTCCTCAACTGATCACATAGGATGCCCTGCTTCTACTTAGCCTGCCCCAGTTTCCTTAGGCCAACAGCTTTTGATCAGGGCACACCTAACCCCGACTTTCTGTTCCACTGTAAAGCTTTCCCACTGACTGCCTTTGAGCCTCTGCCAAACAAAAGTAGTGGTACCTGACTCCTTGCTGTAGCAAGCTCTGAATAAATAGCCTCTGCTCGTTCTGTTTTGGGTGGTTTTTGTTTATTTCCACAGTTTTTACTATGGTCTCTATACAGAATCCTTTAAATAGCAAAATTATCCATGCCCCAAAATCAGTTAGGGCCCCTGGATATCAAATGTGGAGCCACTAATTTTGAAAGCCAGAAAAATTGTTGAGACTGGTTCAAATCTGGGTCAAGATTTCTTTGATCTAACTCAGTTCTGTGATAATTTGGCATTTATATTACACAGCCCTTTTTCCAGTTCATCTCAGCAAAAGTCTCACTGCTTGTGCATGTCTTGTTTGAGTAGTTGCTTCTTTGTAAAACTACTCAGAGGTAATATGACAATTACCTGTGGATAGTTCAAATTGGCTCTATGTCTTTGAAAAGGTCTATGTTGCCTTCATTGACTGAGAAGTGTGTGATATCTGATATTACATAGTTTCAGTTTAAATTCTGCCAATAACTTTTATTCATTGGATGAGTTTAGTAGAGTATATTAGCATATTTAAATCTCAATTTTTTAATTTAAAAATTGCTATAGTGACATGAGCTCCTATCTTATAGGGTTGCTTAAGAATTAAAAGAGATAAATCCTGTAAAATAGTTATCAAAGTCTTAATATGTAATACTCATTCAATAATAAGTAATAGCTATTATTATTATTACATCAAAAGATGTGCTTATATTTCCAAATTAACAATCTTTTGTACCTTTGATATGACAGCATAGCACTCAGAGCCAAGATCTGGAAATTGCTGGTAACTCGATATTTTTTTCAGATGTTATTAGGCACTGGATAAGCAATGCTGAAAGAAAATAGATGCATTGAGTGACACAGAGAATTAAGGAACTGTCTTCATAATTCAGGTGATAGCAACCTTCTACTGTACTAAAAATCAAGCCTCTCAGAACTAACATGATTTAGTATTAGGTAATTTCACCTCAGCATTCTCAATGGCTTCTCCTTATAGAGAAGCTTACAGCTAGTAACTTGGTCAGGGTTTTCAGATACAAATTGTATTTTTTAAGATTATAAACAAATATACATTGAAAATACGATACGCCAGAGGCACAGAAAGATACATGAAGTAGCCAACCAAAAGGTAACATGCCCTAACACAGTATATGTTCTCTATTCTCTTTTAAACCCTATTACAATCAAAGAAACCTCTGACATGGTGAAACGCTCATTTTGCAGACATGACGTGGGCAAGTTTGATTTCTGAATAAAACAAAGGAAAAAATTCCTGGACATTTTATGTGCATTTTTGTTAACGCAATCACAGATACAAAGTTAGCCATCCAATCCCAAATGAGACATGACCTCACTGGAGCAGGGTGGGTGTTTCTTGACTGAATTACGGAGTTCCACATAAAGGACGCGTCGATTACACTGCCTGTGGGCTCCCATCTCCTCGCCGATGTCAGGGATTTATTCTGGGAAGTCTTTAGTAAATATTTTTGGAACAGATATTTTGTGGGAATTTCACTGTTTTTGTCACAAAGGTTATTTAGTGGTCTAACTGGAAACCAAGAATGGAATGAGTTACCTTATTAAAATTCTTAAATCAAGAAGTGTTTGTTTTATTGGGTGAGTTTCAGTAGAAATTAGAGGAGCAGGTCATGATGGGAAGTTGAGGGGGATCTCTCGGGAGCGCCAAGAACACTTTTTCAAATTATGCATATTCTAATAGATTCTGGAGGAAATGTTACTAAGAACAAGCCTTCAATGTAGCCCCATATAGCATATTTTCAACTTTCCTATGGAGACAATTTCAAATATTTTCCATTTCTCTTTAAATCCCTATTTCTATCTCCTTTACCCTAACCCCCTCTATTTAACAGGAAAATAATATCACAAACTTCTTGCCTACCAACCTGTAGACTCAATTGCACCTGTGCCTGTTCATTCCTTGGAATCATCCCTGACTCTTTCCCAGCCCTCTACTCTGCCATTTCATCTCCTTTCACTTCTCCCTTTGCTCCCTAATAGACTTCTAATTTTTGTGGATCCTGACTTCCACGTATCCCTTGGATCCATTCCCTTTGCTTTGCTCCCCTAGATGATACAATATCCTCCTTCCTGACTTCCCTATCTCTTGTCTGGCCAATCTATTCTCACCACCAGAGCCATAATCTTAAATATGAATCTTACGCACTTTATTTTTATGCTAATCAGATTGTGTTAGTCTCCTGATCTCTTTAATGCTCCCCTAGAATTATCCAAATTCTTTAATGTTATCTTCCAGATGCTGCTCACCACTCCAGCTCTATCTCCTATTTCCTCACATCTTAGATCCCATGATGAAGCATTTTCATTTTTCCTGCTAGCTCCTATTCAGTGCTAACACAGTTTGTCTCAATCAGTTTCATTCAGCATGAATAGAGTCAGGGTGTAAATTGCACCCTTGGGGAAATGTGACTCAACAAGTAACTACTGTAGAATAGATTCACCGCAGAACAAAAACAAATATATTCATGGCTTTTCAGAAATTAGGAGCCAACCAAGAGTGGAAAATGCTAAAACATAAAAATAAGTTTATTCATTAGTAGAGTTTTAAGTTGAGAATTTATAGAGTTTCCTTAATTCATAATAAGGACTTAAATGCTTACTGAATTATATGAAAATATTCTTAAACTTTAAGACAGATCACTTTTGCAGTATCACTTTGAACAAGACAGCAGTTTAAATTCACTTTCTTTTTCCTCCCATTAAACAAAAACTTTAATTATGGCTCAGTGGTTTATAGTAACTGCTTAGGGTGTATATAATATAATGAGAATGTACACTGACATATGGACTTTGCCCAATTTTATTTCCAGCACTGACATCAAAGACCATTTTTTTTCTGACCCAAATATTAGAAGCTATAGGCTTTATATGTGACTTTGTATACTTTATATGTGACGTTGTATATTTTACCCACTCATAGTAGCTTTGAAGTTAAATTTTGAGTGTAATCGAACCTTTGAAGTGGAATTTTGAGTGGACTCTGGACTGATTCATGGCTGGTCAAACAACACCTCGATAATTATGAATTAAAAGGCATTACATTTTAAAAGGGACATTCAGAGAACAACTAGGACATTGAGCAAATTCTAAGATGTGACTTGTAATTCAGTGTAGTGCTAAAGTCAGCTCCTACCAGCTCACAAGAGCTGATTGTGCACACCTCTTACCAATTCCATGTTAAGAGACCTCATATCAGTAACTCGAAATCATCCATGATTAGAGTATTTACACCACAGAAATTGGAAGCTGTAGAAGTCAGTCTTTTTGTTTCCTCCAGAAAGGTAGTTGTTAAGATTTTCCAGCACGCTACTGCTGATAAACAAGTTGGCCATATGTCCCAGCAGTCTTGGTTGTCCTGGTAACCCATGACTCAGCATTTCTACCCACAGTTTTCACTATCAAAACTAACAGATGCAATAATCACTATGGATATCGGAACTCATAGGAGGCTTTAGAAATTTTTCATTGGAAGAAGTGAAGACTGAGTTGGGAGGTAAGATGCAACTACAAGTTTCTTATCTTTATTTATCTGAAGAGCTGGCTGCAGGAAATAGTACAAGACTTGTTTTGCAGAGCTTCAGAGGACAGCATGAGGACAGGAAAGTCTTGTAAAAAACACAGGGAGACACATTTTTATCTGAGTTTAAGGAAGGACTCCCTCTTTGGTAATTTTGAGTCATCATAAATAAGAAGAGAGACGTGGAGGGTTGAGTGTGGTTCCGGTGACTGAAACTGCTTGGGAAGAGCATGAGAACCCCTTTGAGTGGGTTCACAGCCATTCTTGCTGTGTTCTTCCATTCCTGCTGTGATCTTCTGATGGCTCCCATTATAAGCTGAACATTTTCATGACATTACCTGACTCATTCATTTTGGCAGTCATCTCAGAGGATCTTTGCCTGACGATGTGTGTGTTTGGGAGAAGGTACAACAAACCAACAGGAAAAATAATTCATTCAAATTCAGAAAGAAGTGACCCAAACAGAAACTTGTATTAAGCCTCACTGTTCTGCTTTAAAATTAAATAAGTATCATTAATTTGAGAGAAACAACATGCTAACCAAGTCGCTACTGATTTATTTACAATTTCAGATTTTGAACTCTATTAATATAGTCTACTTCATATCAGCACAGTTTGGGCAAAGAAAGGAAAATACGTCAGAGAGGTTCAAATAACTTTAGAATCATGAGTAGCAGGGGAGACCTTGGGAAGGAAAGTCTGTTTAGTAGTGAGAACTTCAGACACTTCCTCTGTATCCTACAGTAGCCAGGCAGTTAGAATAACAGGAAGCCTTCAGGTCCGCAAAAATGGCACCTGTGAAGTTTGTTTGGGTCTGTCTGAAGGCATGGTTTCAGCAGGGGCTGAGCCTGTAGCTGTATGGAACAACTTAAAACTTTTTATTGGGCATGCAAAATCAGGTTAAAATGAAAAATTTTCTCCATTATCTAGTGTCTATGTGGTATCATATATAAAAGTCAGATTTTTTTCCTCTATTTCAAATTACTTTACTGAATCAGACAGTTTGATTATCATATGGATTATCAGAATAGTTCATACAGTATTTCTCTAAGATCAATGCCTTTCATTTGCACACCTTTAATCTTACCTAACACTTTTCTGCCCATTCCTATGGCCATGTAAGGTCGTTTAGTACTTTTCATTTTCTGTCTCTTCACCACTAGACAACTTTACTCTTGTCCACCATCCTACAAGCATCTCTCTTTATATTCTCCCAGTCGGATTTCTTTAACACTTAGATGGCATTCACTTTTGCCTACTGCTGTTTTAAGTATTTTATAAATATTAATTCATTTACTTCTGCTGAGAGCTATATGCAATTGATAATTTTATTATCTGTCTTTTGCAGATTAGGGGATTGAGGCATAGGGTGGTTAAATAAAGTAGCTGGAATTAGGATTCTAACTGACAGAGTGGTTCTCTGCATCAACTCTTAACCACTAGGTTGCCACTCACTTTAAACAGAAAAAAATTAAACTAATCTTAACATGATACTCTGAAAAGCCAGTGTTTGCACTCCACTTACATGAAAATGTATTTTTTCTCTACCCATTTTTCCCGAAGTCCAGCTTTCTACTTTTCTTATTTACTTATTTACTTTTTATTTCTACTTATGAATATATATTTTCATACGTCTTGCCACAGAGTTATATGAAATTCAATGTTACAAGCATTGCTTTCTTTTTTACACATTTTACACATATACCCTCTCCTTAAAGAATCCACCTTTATTGTAGTTTATGAAAAAAACCCCAACATTTATATATTTCTCGAGTCCATATTCTATTATACATTGCACTAACCAAGAGTAAAACTCATCTACTTGGTTCTTTGAGTCTAGGACAGTGATTCTCAACCTGGGGTCATTGTGCTCACCAAGGGGTATTTGGCACATTTTTGGATGTCATGGTGGGGTTTGGGGTCCTATTGGCATCTAGTGGGAAGAGTTTAGGGACACTGCTAACATCCTATAAGTCATAGGACATCTTCCTGCAACAGAGAATTATCTGTCGTAAAATATCAAGGTTGAGAAACCAAAGTCTAGGATATTCTGTGCATGTTAAATTATCCTTCTGAATACAATTTAGGTCCCTTCTCAATAGCACTACAAACGCTATATAAAAACTATATATATATATATATATATGTACATATATATATACACTATATCCATCATTAATATATCAACCTGTTAGATTAAGTAGACCCCATTGTTCTTATGTTTCATTTTCTCTTTTGGTTTATAAAGGTATAAAGGACTCAGACCTATAACATAGTCTTAATACTAACATCACTGTTAAAGTAATAAATGGTTATAATTGTAGATCTCTTTAGTGTTATGTTATTCACAAACTCATTCATATTTTGAAGAAATAAGTATTAAGCATTAACTGTACACCAACCAATATTCTAGGTGAACAAGTACTTTAGAATTAGGTTATGACTAATTTGTGGATGGTTAGGATTATTTTAGTTAATGTTTACTAAAAAGTTATTATTATTAAATTTATATTTTGTATAGTTTACATTGTTTTACACAATTATGGAAACAACCAATGTTTTAAGAGGAAAGTATGCAAAGTATTTTATATAATGTAGGAAAAATAAGATAGAAAATGATTGCATTATTCATTTTTTACTCAATTAGTTGAAACTGGTGGTTAGCAACATCAGATGTGCAAAGAGGACCCAGTGGTTGATCCAATAACAGTATTCCATTCTCTCCCCATGATTTTGCAATGAAACCATAAAACCAAACAGGATACTTTCTTCATGTTGACCAAAACTATTTATTTTTGATAGAAATGACACACAAGACTAATTGCAAGACATTTGCTTAATTGAAACAGGAGTCGGTTGGGAACATCTTATGTGATATATTGTAACATCTCTCACATTAAAACAAAACACAACCCTTTCCCTGAAAAATAAACCTCTTGATGCCCACATCTCTTCCCATTCATCACCACATTTCCCTACTCCATTTCATAGCAGACACTCCCTGTAGGTTTGATGCATGCCTTCTCAACTTCCTTTCACACTGTTCTCACTTGTTCTTAGTCTAGCCAGGCATTTGTCTCCAAAACCTCTATTGTGACATTTTTATCAAGGCTGCAAGTGGCATTACATTGCCGCATCCAGGGCTAATTCTTAGTCCTCTTCTTAACGTATCATTAGTATCTGACACTGTTGATCACCGCCTTCTTCTGGTAACACTTTCTTCTCTTCATACCACATTTCACAATTTTCCTTCTACTTCAAGCCACTCACCTTCTCAACTGCCTTTGTTGGATCCTCCCCTTCTTTCCAACATCAAACTGGGTTTTCCTAGGTCTTAGTTATTGGAACCCTTCTCTTTTCTAACTACTCTGACTCTTGTGTGGTTTCATCCATGTTCATGGTTTTAAATAACCTATATATGCATGGACAACTTCCAATCTTATACCTTAACTCTGGTGCTCAACCCTGACCTCCAGACTAATACATTATCTGCTTGACATTTTTGACTGTCAGAGAGCATGTCATATTTTACCACAATAAAAACATCGATTCCCCCACTTCAAATCTCCTTCTCTCCCAGTTCCATCATCCCCAGTAAATAGCACCAGCATTTACACAGTTTCTCACAAATGTCAGTGTTTCCATGTCTAGCCCATTCCAAATTATAAGACTCACTGATAGATGAAAAATGCACATTAACAAGAAAATCACTCCCTCTCCTATCTCAGACTTAGAGGAAGCAAACAAGCAAGCTGCAAAACGAAACCAAAGCTTCTTGGGAGAACATCTAAACTTTATCCCTGGAATCAAGACTGACATGGTCAATAGTCTTTCTGGGGTCACATGCTTCCTTGGAGCTCATATGAAATGATGTTGGGCAAGATGCTGTTTGCCTTAGGTGTAGGATTACATGGTCAGACAGGGTGTGTGTTTGCGTAGAAACAGCTTTACTGTGACAGTAACAGAGCACCTGCACCTAGAAGAACACACTTGGAAGAAGTTGTACAAATCCTAAAAATGACAGTAAGAGAAAACTGAGCCTTCTTGGACGGTAAGAAGTTCAGAGGCAATGTGTGGCCACTTTGTGATTTGAGGAGATGGTTATTATTCAATAAGCTCACCAAAGTTTGATCCAAAGACAAAGATATAAATGGGAATGCAGGAAGGATCTCTCTCTTGATTCTTGCTTTCTGTCTGCCACCGGTGGCAAGACCATCTACTATGGGTAGGCATGGGAACCAGTTAAAGAAAGTGTCGATTCACTAGAGTGAAGCTGAGAACTCAGTGGCCTTTGTCTGTGGTGAATGTGTCCGGAAAGGCAAAGAAGAGCGAGATTCTCCGGTGGGGTTTCTCATCTCCATGGCGGTAGGTGCTGACAGCATCAGAGACAGCACTAAGTAACAGGGCAACAAGAAAGGAGCCTTGAGATGCGTAGCTGCAGTGCTCTTGCAGGATGAAAAGGACATGGGGTTTGCATCTGAACTTCATTATCTGCAACTAAGGTAAGACCATGCAGTAGTGGATTACAGAGTGATCCAAGCCTGGGCTAATTGCCTGCCTGCTATCTTAAGCTCCTTCTTTTTGTGTGTATCCCTGTTAATAGGCACCTTTATGCTGCTTTCTTTGGCTCAGTAGTCTTGCTTGATTGATGCGTGGTCTATGGCTGGGAATAATTTTTCTTTCTGTTATATAATCCCTGGGGAATGCTGAACCAAACAGATTAAAAATGCCAGTGCCATTTACAGATCCGTTAAGGGAAGTAACATTCAGAGACGCGGAGAGACTAAAAGGATGATGACTTAGCCAGCTGACTTTACTTATTGACGTGGGACAATGTGGAAGAGGTGAATCTTTAATTTCCTGTGGAAATAGTCATTCATAAACCGCCTTTTTGTATGCCTCTGTCACTCTTCCACTGTTGCAAAGTGACAACAAACTGGCATCAAGAATTTGAAACGGTGAGAAAATAGGCTGTCATCTTATTTCAAATTAATTACATCTTCACAACTAAAAGTACAGCCAGAAATGCCGTAAAACCCTAGAAAAACAACTGCTAAGAGGTACTTCAAAAAATAATGAGATCTTCAAGCACTGAAATCTGATTAGGTATAAAAGCACTGGGCTTTCTGTCTTTTAATGTTTTTCATCTACTCATTGTTTTCTTTCAATTTGTAATCCGGACCGTTGCTATGTAATAAGTAACACCTACTATATTCCACGCCTTCTGCTTTCCATTTTACTAGTAGAAGTGACACGGATTGAAAGAATGAAGTTCGTCTACATGAAAATTCTAAGACAGTATAGATGCATGGCCATGTGTTTAGCCATAAATGTCTTATAAAACACTGTAAGCCTCTCTTTTTAAAACCCCCCCTCCCACCCCCTCCTCCCTGCTTTTATTTCCTATGAGTCTTGAAATAATACTGAGAATTCAGAGGGAGCAAAAGGCAATATCCCCAGAAGTTATGAAAGCTCATAGTCTGGAAGGTAGAGACCAAATTAGCTACTCATTAGTGGTGTGACCTCCCCCAAATTACTCAGCTTCTCTCTGCCTCCTTTCCAAAATCTTTAATAGTATCCATAACTTAGATGTTATTTAATTTCATTTGATATGCTGTCTGGCACATACAGAGCACAAACTAAATGGAGACCATTATTATTAGCTCTATTTTAGGGAGGAGGCAGACTCTGGTATACAGGGTGATAGTGGGTTAATAGCTAAGGGCAGAGCAATATCCCAAATGGCTCGACTCCAAGGAATACATGTTTTGTTCTTAGGTTTGAGAAGATCCGAGCCAATTGCACTTTTGTAATGAGAAAGGTGGAATACAGTTGAAATGTCAAAAGTGGTTCTGGCAATTTATACCAGCCCTGATCTGCTCCTGCCATTGTTTTCTGACCAGCCATATTCAGCTTTCAGCGTCCAGACTCCCACATTCCAGCCCTGGGCCTTGCCCCTCTGAGGAGCTCGATCTCTGCAGGCCAGTGATGCCGCTGAGGTCAGGGAAGGTGTCTTGGGATGGGCTGGAATGAGAGGTGATGAGGGTCAAGAAGAGAGTTAGGGCCAGGAACATTCTTTTGTGTACACATAGTTTAATAAAGACAAATCGATCATTTCACAGGTTGATCTTTATATATGGCCACATCAAGATATCTGCTTTGAAGTTGCTATGTCCCAGTGGCTTCTTGTCTTGGTGTCACAGTGGCTGCTTCGAATAAGCCAAGGTTCCTGTTTTCTCTGAGTGCCTAAGCTTCGGGTGAAAACTACTGACATTTATGGGACACCTGCGCTTTTACAATAGCTATCTAATGTATAGCTATCTAATGTATAATACCTAATGAGAACATAATTGTCCTTGTTAAAGGGATGGGGATCACGGAAGTAAAATAGCTGGTCTGAGTTCACACAGGTAAATTGTGGAGATGAGATGCAAACAGAAATCGGTCTAACTCCCAAAAAATCAAATCTGAGTAATGGAGGTAAAGGCACTATTTTGTTTCTGTTATATAAATCTGCGATCCCCAATCTCCAGGCCATGGACTGGGTCTGTGGCCTGTTAGGAACTGGGGTGCAGAGCAGGAAGTGAGCATCAGGCCAGCGAGTATTTACAGCTGCTCCCCATCACTCATAGCACCTCATAAGCTCCACTTTCTGTCAGATCAGATTCTCACAGGAGCACGGACCCTACTGTAAACTGCACATGCACGGGATCTAGGTTGTACGCTCCTTATGAGAATCTAATGCCTGATGATCTGAGGTGGAGCTGAGGTGGTGATGCTAGCGCTGGGGAGCGGCTGCAAATACAGATTATCAGAGAGGTTAGATATCAGGAGAGAGGTTTGACTGCACAATAAATGCAATGTGCTTGAATCATCCCCAAATCATCTCCTCGCTGCCTCCAGTCCGTGGAAAAATTATCTTCCAAAAAACTGGTCCCTGGTGCCAAAAAAGGTTGGGGACTGCTGATATAAATAATAGATCTGGAATCACAAGTTGTGATGGAATCCAGACCATCAAAACCTGAATTTGTTTCACATGAAGAGGCAGCACATCTAACATTACGGAGGACTCAGGGGCACCCTGTAGCACCATAGTAACTGATTCAGAAATAGCTCCTGTCCTTGGAAATTTCCTTTGTAGCCATTGTGCTGGGTTTTCCTTAATTGTTACTCAGAAAGTTCTTGATGCAGTCTGCAGTCTGGGTATTTTTTTGTTTTTTAAGTTTGAGCCATATGTAGAATTACAAAACAAAAATGAAAACATGTCAGCTAAATTTATACAAAAAGTCAAGGCAATGAGCCAAGGCACAGATAGTACCAAAATGGGTCGAGATGGTCTTTCCTGTTGGCATGACAAATATGGCTCATAATTATTTTTAAAAATTAGAAGATTCCCTTCTTTTGCTTTTATTGAGAAGGTGAAGTCTGACATTGTTTATTTTTAATCCTGTTGGGCAGACTTTCACCACTGTTCATCTCATAAAATTGGAGTGAGTGTTATTTACTAGTTAATAAAAAATAGAATAACATAAAACTTTAAAATACAAGTGTCAAAAGAGAACTTCAGAGTTATCTAGTTCAACTTCATAACAAATTCAGGAAACTCTTCTGTAAATTCTTCAAGCAATCTCATTGTTAGAGATACTGATAACAAACACATTCTTCTTGATTCAAATATTAAATATTAAATCTACATCCCTATAAATCCCCTAAGCAGATCCGAGTCCCACCCTCTGTACCATCGTAGAGAAGTGTCCCTCTTTCTGCTGCACATGAGTCCAGGCTGCTTTGCATTGAAGGGTGTGAGCAACTTGGAGTACAGCTATGCTTTAATTATTCAACACAGCTAGATCACAGTACAGGGAGCACAGTTGGTGTTCAATAAAGGCTTTGAGTATGTGAGTATATATCTTTTTTAAGAGTTTCTTGCTTTTATTACTTTCACTGGGAATTCTGTGTGGAATGAAAAACTATTTTTGTTGACTCTTTGCCTTGATTTTTCTGGGAAAGATGTATTTTTAAGCCCATCCGCCACTCCTCTCTCCCTGCTCATTGTTGCTAGCCTTCTGGGCTGGACACTGATCGTGCTTTTTTTTTGGAGACAGAGTCTCACTCTGTTGCCCAGGCTAGAGTGCTGTGGCATCAACCTAGCTTACAGCAACCTCAAACTCCTGGGCTCAAGCGATCCTCCTGCCTCAGCCTCCCGAGTAGCTGGGACTACAGGCACGCACCACCATGCCTGGCTAATTTTCTATATATTTTTAGTTGGCCAACTAATTTCTTTCTATGTTTAGTAGAGACGAGGTCTTGCTCTTGCTTAGGCTGGTTATGAACTCCTGACCTTGAGCGATTCACCCACCTCGGCCTCCCGGAGTGCTAGGATTACAGGTGTGAGCCACTGTGCCCGGCTGCTGCCTGCTGATCAGTGTTTAGTGTAATTCGTTGCCTAAATTTCCTTGCCTGGGAATTTCTCCAATCCCTTGAGCTGAGAGCATTTGATTCCATTTGGCCCCTCTGGTCCAGGTTCTGGACCTGGTTCTGGTCCTTAGAACACCTAAGTGAGCAGCTGTAAAACCCATCTCAGAGGACTCAGCCAGCACTTTTTTGCAGTCAGTTGTGCTCTGAACTTGCACTCCAGTCCTGGTGATGGGACTTTCTCCTTTTTCCCAATTTCAGGTCCATAGACCCACCTTCACCCTGATTTTGTTTCCAACAGCTCCTTTACTCATTAAGGCTCAAAACTTCAGTGCTAGAATGAGATAAATTTCTTGTAGTCCTTTTCCCCACAAAATTTATTACCTTGTGACCCTGGATAAGTATACCAAACTAGGTAAGTTTCAATTTTTTATCCTTAAAATAGGAATAATATCAATTCCTGGTCCTCAGGGTTTGGGGGACGATTAAACAGATTCATGAATATAAATTCATGCCTGGCACTTAAGCAGTGTTTTTCTCTGGCTGAGAATTGTTATCTCCCCCTTATCCTCTCTCAGTCTTTAGATACTAAACCCCAGCTTTATACCTAGGAACCAATCAATTTTTTTTGCCATA